TTGGAGATAGGACCTGCACAACCGGCTGACAAAAAGGCGACGAAAGCGACACCTACGGAACCAAAACCAAATGAATGGACCCTCTACACAGACGGATCCAAAAAGGGATTCGATCAGGTTGCACATTGGGGGTTTATCCTAAAACAACATGAAAACGAGTGCTGCCATAGAAGAGGGAGAGTTCCAGGAAGTGCCCAAACCGGGGAAGTAACAGCGGTACTGGAAGGACTGCTTTAACTGACAGAAAAATAAAGACAGCAAGAATCGTAACCGACAGCTATTATTGCGCACAAGCCCTGAAAGAGGATTTATCCATTTGGGAAGAGAATGGATTTGAGAGTGCAAAGGGAAAAGTGGCTCATCATGACTTGTGGAAGAAAATAGTTGAGCTAAGGCTACAGTTAGAAATAGAGCACCAAAAATCCCACACCAGAGAAGGAAAGCACTGGCAGGGAAATTATGAAGTGGATCGATATGCTCAGCAAAGAAAGATTGTTTTTGTCAGGATCGAGAAGTGGGACAGCACCTCCCAGGGTAGGAGGGTCCCAGAAGAGTACGTGGTTCAGGTGGTACAGAGTGTGCATGAGGCCCTAGGACATGCAGGAGTATTGCCTACACGTAAGGAATTGGAGAATCAGGAGCTCTGGATTCCCTTGAAACAAGTCCGCAAGGTGCTACAGGACTGTGAAGTATGTGGTCAATACAACGCAGGACGGCGAGGACACCGAGTGGATGGGCAGACTATTAAGAGTATCACATCATGGGGTTCTGTGTGCATGGACGTTGTCGGACCCATGGGAGTCACTGGAAAGAAGGGAGAAAAATACCTTCTAGTGCTAGTAGACTCAATGTCAGGGTACATAATAGTGAAACCAGCAAGAAAGGCTAACGGGAACAGTGTGGTCAGCATGCTGGAGCAAGTTTGTGGGTCGTTAGGTGTGCCAAAAGAACTAAGAACTGATAATGGAACACATTTTCGCAATGCACAAGTTGATCACTGGTGCCGGACATTTGGGGTGATGCGTGTTTACTCACCACCCTACACGCCACAAGCCAACGAAGTTGCCGAAAGAACCATAGGTCTGGTCAAAAATTGGATAGCTAAAAATGCTGACACCAAAGAATGGAGCACTAAGACTGTGGAGATAGGGCAAGCGTTGAATGATAGGCATAGAGCTAATAGGCCCTCCCCTGCAGAGGAACTCAACCTACGACAGTTCACCACCCAGGAGAGTGGGCGGGACTCTAAGGATAAAGAGGAACAGCCAGAGCTTGACATCTCATTCAGGGTGAGACAAGGGTGTGACTCGCAAATGATGGTCGTGAACAGTCTGGGTGAATCACCTCCAACACATCCTTAAACAGAACTAACCTAACGTCGCTCTGGGTAAAGCCCAAATGTTAGATTATGCCCCTTTTCCACTGTCACAGTGCGGATCAGATCAGTTCGGGTTGGTTCAGATCGGTTCGGGTCTGTTGCGTTTCCATGTACATTTCTGGACCGGTTCTGTAGGCGGGGACTAGAATCCAACTCGTCTTACCACCTGGTGGCAGTAGTGCTCCCTTAAGCTACTTACTAGCCACCACTAAACGTATTAGAAGAAGAACACCCTGAAGGTTTTGTCACATGACGTTGTGGAAGAGATGTCATGCTCTAATGGAGTACCTCATGAACTGTAACTTTTAAACCTGATTCATAATCCTACCTTACTGCCTTCCTGCCTGCTTTAAATACACGTGTTTTCCATTTTAGTGTAGATTTTTACTATAAAGATGTATTAAAAATATCTTCACTTTTATTATTTGCAGATATGCACAAGGTTCATGTTAAAATTGCAAAACATCCCACTGTGCTGTAATCTTTGAAACTGCTTTTACAATAAGATACAGACTTGAAAACAATTAGGTTAAATTTTGTCCTTGAATTTTAAAGATTTGTCTTTCATTAAATTTAAAAACATAAATTTATTACTTATTAATCTAAAAAAGTTAAGTCTGGTCCTCTGGACATTCAAAAAACAAAACAAACAAAAAACATTTAGTTTATTTATTATAAACTGTATTGTTTGTTTTGTGAATGTCCAGAGGACCAGATTTAACTTTTTAGATTTTTCTACCTGGATTATTGAGCAGCATCAGGATATTACTTAATAAAAAGTCAGTTGGTCTGAAAACACCATGGGGTCCTAGAAGAGTTGAAGAGGTGGCTGTTGATGTCTGTGCCTCCCTGGTGAAGATGCCGCTCCCACAACCCTGAAGCAGAAGATGATGGATGGATGGATGGATGGATGGATGGATGGATGGATGGATGGATGGACAGATGGTGAAGGAGGAGACCATCAAACACAGCAGGAGTGGTCAGTTCAGGTGAACTCCTGCCTGTTTGCTTCAGATCAGCTGTTCAAATCTCTGCAGGTTCAAATAAAAGGTGCACCAGGACTTTCAGCTGAATCTCTCAGGCCACAGTTGTACGGCCGATAAACCATAACTGATAAATGATAACTGATAACTGTCTTTTCTGAATTTTTGACTGTTTTTGTCTCACTTCATCCTAGAACCAAAACATTTATAACATAATAACAGTTGAGCAGATTCTGGTAAACTTTTCTTAGGATCCATTAAAGATCAAATGCAATTGGAAATTCTTCTCAACTTCCAGTATGAATTTAAACAAACACTATATGCACTTAACATTGTAAAATATGTTTAGAAATTTAATGTTCAAGGACACCACTTAAGAAAAAAATTGTTTAATAGGAAAAGTAAGAAGTGAAAAATGTAGAAAAATAAAAACTACTGCGTCCAACTAATGATTGTGTATCTGTGTGTCCCTTGTCTCACGGGCTTCATCCAGAAGAAGACACAAGTGTTGTTCCTGCTGTGTCCGGTTCAGTTCTTCATGTTCATTCAGTGATGAAATAAGACTTTTCTTTACTGGACTCTTTTCTCTTTCTCTTGACTAGAAAGAAGAAAAAGGTGGTTAATTCAAGCTACATACTGTTTTTGAATAAATGCATAAAACAAAGAAAGGTGCAGCTAACAGCTACAATAGATATATTAATCATAATAAACTGATAAAATAAGAAAATGAAAAATAAATTGATTTAAAAATAATGAAAATGATAATGGATATATGAATCAGAAAGTATTATACAGATGCAGATATTCTTTGTCATTCGCACCACATGTGGTACATGTGGTGGATCAAAATTATGTTCACAGGGTCCCAGTTACATCCAACAATAAAATATAAAAGAAAAACAGTCATAAGATCTAAGATATGAACTAAGAAAAACATCAACTAAAAATATGATAAGCACTAATAGCATAAAAACATTAAACACAATATGCCGAACAGCATCACGGACATGAGTCTGTGTGAACAGACGAGCATGCATGAACACAGCAACATGAAACTGATCAGCAGCAACATGAAACAGATCAGCAGCAACATGAAACTGGTCAGCAGCAACATGATGTGATTCTTCACAGTGTTAGATATTCATAAGGCTGCACAAACTCTAGTTCATGTTGCTGTTTGACGTATTGTTTTGATTGTTTACTGCTATTAGTGCTTAGTGTTTTATTAGTAGATGTTTTTTAGTTGATATTTTTCTTAATTCATATCTTAGATCTTATTACTGTTTTTCTTTTACATTTTGTTGTCTGTAACTGGGACCCTGTGTACAAAGTATATAATTTCATCCCAATTCAGTATTTATTCAACATTTTAGTTTTTTACTTTAAAAATAAAATAAATCAAGTCCTTATCGGCACGAATAAAGGGATGTGGAACAGTTGCATCTGTTCTTACCAAGCACAGAAGCTGCAGCATTGTGCTGCTCTGTGAGGTGCAGCTGGGCTGCAGTGGAGCTCTGTCAGGTGCAGACTCACTCCTCTGATGGAGCAGGAGCAGGAGCCGGGAGGCTTGGTGGGTTTAATGTGGAGTTTAGAGATGAACCGTCACGCGCTGAAAGACGTTCTGGATAAAATACAGTGAGAAACGGGACCGGAGGACAGTTAGCGTTTATGCAAATTAGCTTAGCATCATAGCACCGACGTTGTCCTATTAAGGCATCAGCCTCTTTTGTTAGTTAAAAATATGTTCAGAACCGATGGGATGAGTAACTTAAAATATGTTTAAAGTTAGAAAACACTCACCATCTTCTATAAATGGTTCAAGTAGAGCAGTAGTCGTGTCCAAACCACCCTCCAATCCTCCATCTAGCTCGCTTTGACTTTTTTCGTCGGCCACCAAGCACAACAACACCTGCACTTCTGCATTTGACCACGGTTTTGATACTATTGTTTTTATATAGCTTCAAAATACTAAAAGATACACTCCTCGAGTTATCGCTAATGGAAAGCGGGAGAGAAAAAATGGTGGATCGGGTTGTTTGGAAAGACTCCACAGACTCCTCCCCCCGACCAATCAGTGACCGACAGTGTTTCTGACGTCACGGCGCGGCTCGCTCGGACCCCTTGAGAAGCCGGGCCAGAATTTAGCGAGGCAAGCCGGTCACAGGAACAGTGGAAAGACCTCAAACGCACGTCAAGCCGGAAATATCCGACCCGCGCCGTGACAGTGGAAAAGGGGCATTAGTCCGATATACCCCTTAGAGGAGAGGCTGCAGTGGGGTTTTAGCCATAACTCAAGTGGTAACTTCACTGGGTAGAACACTTATCAATGCATTTATGAGGAATTTTTTAATAAAATTAAATAATTCTAAATACATATAAAGTGCAACAACCAAAAGTTGTTAAAAAAAAGGGCTCAAGTAGTGACTTAATTAGTGACAATCACAAATTACAGCCAAGACTCAAAATGACTAGACAGCCATTGTCTTCCCAGATGAACACATTTTCACAACAAAGGTAGACTTTTTAAGTTATTATTTTCTGGGTTACTGTAACAAAACCATTAATAATCATCATCAATCATCAATCATCATAAATTTATACACAATAACCGGCTCATCAGATGTTTTAGAGATGCTTACCTTTGTTGGATGGTGGTGCGGATAGCTGCTGTGACTTCTTCTCCAAAAAGCCAGGGTTCACGTCTTTTTGTCACCATTGCAGAATGACCTCGGAAAAATGGCTGCAAGGCCGCTGCCTGGTACCAGCGCACCAACAACTCCGGCTCTGGATCTTGAACAAACCCGCCAACATCAGCTGAAACACCAAGAACAAGGATTGCAAGTGATATTAGGTGTCAAACAAACACGACAAAAAAAAAACTAAAACATGACAGCAGCTAAATAAAAGCCTAGCGTTTTTGAAGGAATGCACATCACCCGCCACCTTTCATGCCAGACTTTTAGACCAAGATAATCATTTGTTGTGAGTTTTGTATTTTCAAATCTGATTTTATCTTAAAACTGCAAAACTGACAGAACTATAGCCATTTTTCCAACATTTTTCAGTCAGGTCATTTTTTAGACAGTTTCGTTTTTATTTTTTTTTCCGAAACATTTTGCCTTGGATCCAGAAGACTTCATCAGTCAAGGAAACACACAACACAAAACTGATTATTTCCCCAACAGCTTACTCCAAAGTGGAACAAACCAGTTATGTTGGTGATAAGTTGGTCTCTTTGTCACGCCCCCTCCTCCATTGCCGGCCCTCTTCCTTGTTGACAGTCGTGTCAAACTGGTTGAAAACAACAAAGTCCATGCTCAATAATCCAGGTATACAATCCAACAATTTTCAGTCAGGTCATCTGGACAGTTTCTTTTTTTGTGTGCTGAAATGTTTCGCCTTCGATCCGGAAGGCTTCATAAGTCAAGGAAACACACAACACAAAACTCATTCTTCCACCAACATCTTACTCCAAAGTGGAACAAAAGGAGGGGACATGACAAAGAGACCAACTTATCACCAACATAACTGGTTTGTTCACTTTGGAGTAAGCTGTTGGGGGAAGAATCAATTTTGTGTTGTGTGTTTCCTTGACTGATGAAGCCTTCTGGATCGAAGGCGAAACGTTTCAGGCCAAAAAAAGAAAGAAACTGTCCAGAAGACCTGACTGAAAAATGTTGGATTGTATACCTGGATTATTGAGCATGGACTTTGTTATAGACATTTTTGTGTTTACCATATTTTCCATCGTAAATGTCGCTCCACCCTATAAGTTGCTTCAGTCCAATTATGTCTAATAAAGTGGAAAAATCCATAAATAAGTCGCTTCGCCATATACGTTGCATCTATTAGGTGTCACCGGTGACAACCCAGAAACGTGGGCCGGTGTTGTGCCAAAAAATCGATTGGCTGCCAAATGACAGCCGCAGGAGCGTGCACTAGAGAATTTTAGCAAGAATTTAACAAGATTAACACTTAAAAACAATCTTTTCTTTGCTCAAAATGATATTAAAGGTGTATCTCAGTTGAACATTTCCTTAAATGCACTTTGACAGTCAAATCAGCTGTGTTTCAAAACCCGATACGCGGATGTAAGCACGTGCACAGGAAGAGTCGCTGTGCAAATTTAACAAGATAATTACGTAAAAACAATTATTTGTTTGCTCGAAATTATAGTAAAGGTGTGTCTCAGTCTAACATTTGCTTAATAAATGCGCTTGGGCGGTCAAATCAGCTGCATTTCAAAACCCAATTGGCGGAAGCGGGCACGCGCAGAGGGACGAGCTGCTGTTCATTTCTTCTAAATTTAACAAGATAAAGAACTAAAAACAATTATTTGTTTGCTCAACTTTATAGTAAAGGTGTGTCTCAGTCTAACTTTTGCTTAATAAAAGACTTTAATGGTCAAATCAGCTGCATTTCAAAAGTATTTGCTGCCTCGGTGCTCCAGGAGTGCGCAGAGGGAGGAAAAAAAGGAAGGAGGAATGCTGCACATTTCTTCGAAAATTAACAAGAAAAGCACCTAAAACAATTATTTGTTTGCTCAAAATTATAGTAAGTGTTGAACTTTTACTTAATAAATGCACTTCAATGGTCAAATTAGCTGCATTTCACCAGGGCGGTGCAGCAAATGAAGCTGATGACAGTTGCTCCAAGCAGCGAGCAGAACAAAGGTGGGAAGCTATGGCAAGCCGATTGTGTCATTAATAGCTGGTGAAGATTCTCAGTCATCCAGGACATGGTAAATTCAAAAAAGTTCAAGACAAAAACAGTAAAGTATAAAGTACAATAAATAAAGTCTAGTTGTTTTTGTGTTGAACTTTTTTGAATTTGCCATTATAGCCACGTTTTCATAT